GTTTGAAGCTCGTAGCTTTCGATACTTCAACGATACACGCGTGTTAAGCATAAAGCAATTGTTAAATTTCACATGATAGTTCACGTGGGATTATCATTATTAAAAATCACATGATGGTTCACGTGGGATCATCATCATCAATGAATCTTTGTTTGTTCTATTTAGGTTTAACATCAATCCACCCTAATGCTGCTGTCAGTTCAGCTTGGTCGGCGACGGAGTGAACTACAACAGATTATCTTAAACCCGTAATCAAGTTTTGAAAATCAAGCCATTTATCCTCAACATGTCTCATTCAAAGCAAGTAAGTGAAATCTAGTAATTAGCTAAGCAAAGAGAGTTGCAATTGAATCGACCTTGCTAACAAGGAATAACATAAAACCGTCATAACCTAAACCGCTACGCCACACCCAAAACATGCTCCACAAACGTTATGACTTGACCCTAACATCAAGTAAAGCAATGATCCTGGCAGGTAAGCTGCAATTTTAACAATTAGAGAAAAAAAGCTTTGAAAAATTTAGGCTTGGACAGGGTTCAAACTTGTGCCTCCTAGATACCAGTTGGGCGCTGCTACTAACCAACTAGGAGTCCACACGTTGGAAGCGAGGTAGATTTTCGAAGGTTGTCCTTTCCCGTGAAGGATTTTGAGCTTGTTATTTAATGAAATAAATTTCATTTGACCTGCGGATGAAAATCCAATAAAGCAATGGTCCTCGCAGGTGACTTGCAATATTTTGGGGTGTTTCCAGCCTGTTCTCAAGTAGGATTCTCAATTGTAAAAAGTACAAACTTAATCTTTGCTACTGGTCATTAATGATCGCCGAAGGGGAAAAGGAGGGGGAAAGAGGGTGTCTGAAGGAGTTTGGTTCTTTTGCGATAAAATTGACCTGACCCCCCTAAGGTTCTGAAATATTCTTATGAGTCCCCCTCCTGTCAATGCCAGTTAATTGAAAGTAAATTTTGTATAGTCCTTTAAAATTTTGTTGACGACTATTTATTCTCCCTTGGCCGTTCCCCTTAAAACTATGTAGTCCCCACAAAAAAACAGCCACCTTCCCCAACTCCCGTGATAGACAAATACTTATCCCGTAGAGTGACGAGCCAGTCTCAGTAGTGACACAACGTATACAAAAATTCTACCGGAAAAAAAAAAAGGATAGTCTGACCTTGATCGCTTTGTTTTGAAAAGTCAACTAACCAGTTTGAAAGGTTATTGATAGAGATGTATGCCCCACAAACCACAGACAGAAACATGCCGCACCAAGAGCTATTGATCCCATCGTTTACCTTTACTGATTTAGTAATTAACCTGCCAGTCATGGCTCGTTTAATTCATTTCGCATGTCTTCAAGCTCCCAACTCACTTTGAAACTAAATTCAGTCCAGTGCTTTTCTCTGAAGCAAAGAAATATTACAGCCAAAAAATGATCAAAGAGTAAGATAATCAATTGTTCAGAAAACAAGCACAAATGGTGTGTCGTACTGTTTGAGATAGTCTGTAGGAACTGAATACAAGCAATCCGCTGGAAAATCGAATTAGGTGGCTGAATTATTAATTTCAGTAGAAAATAATATTCTTTGCTTTCTTACTTATTTAGGGCATTACCGACAAAATGGAGATGAAATTTGAGATGACTGGCTGTGTCAATGGACATCCCTTTACGATCAAAGGAAATGGAAACGGAAATCCTAACGAGTAAGTGGCTCCTAAAAGACAGACCTTAAATTATTTTATTACCATGCATTCAGGAGCCTATTACTTAATGCATTAAAATTCATTGTTAAGGACAAAGTTGAATAATATTTCATCGCAGTCGTCAAAGAAGGGCCTGATAATGTATCAANGGGGATTTAAAATGGGTCAAAATTAACCCGTTATTTAACTTTGTGCTAAACAAAATAATCGACCGAAAACCTGGCTTTTGGAAGGCGAAGTGTGGTTTTTTTTGGTCTCCGAAGAATTTTTGGGGAAATGATTCAATGCGATTCAATCAAGTTTAAAGCTGGATAAAAAGCGCTGATTTGACAGTGCTGTCAGGTAGTCAAAACTGTACACATCCATACGCAAAAACTTGATTGTTTTGCATTTTACTTTGAATCTACAGCTTATTTAGCATAATATCCGCTTACTCTCCATGTTGTTGTATCACAAAAAAGGACTGTAGTCTTGAAATTGTTGCATTGCTCTCACAATAGCGATATAACTTGATTCCCGTTTCGTTGAAGGGAGGCTGTAATTACTTCACGTAAGAGATCATTGTTGAGCAGTTCTCTTTACAACTCATGGCATAACTTAAGTTGGTTTGGAGAAATTTCAGTATTTGATGCTCAGGACAATTCATCCGTAAAGACAATTCCTGAAGGAAATTACTGAAAAGCCTTAGCGAAGCTCTTGAAGATAAATTAAAAAACGAAGGAGTCAAGTTCCGTGAATGCTTCAGTGGGAAGTTTGGAAATTTATAATCCTCAAAACAAAAAGATTCTTCTCGATAATGATCTGGCTGATCTTCTTGGAATTAAACGAAGTTTGCAAAAAATCAACTTTGTCGAAAGGTTAACATCATTTAACAACTACGTTATAAACTGATCTTTTGGATAAGAATGAAAACCTATTCAATGGAGACGTGTCAATAGTTCTCGGGTGTTTCGACATTGTCGGACAACCCTTTGAAAGGGTGAAATATTTTTGTGAAACTGAACCATTGCGAAAAATAAATCCAAGGTATGAAATAACATAAATGAAGTTTTTCGTGACTGATGAAACTGGAAAAATAATTGATTTTAATGGAATGCCAATGAGATTTGAGTTTGAAATAATTTAATTATTATGAAAGAAATGTCTGCCGAAAATATTTTACCAAGCTCTTCGAATGCAACTGCTCCACCACTTGATCTGAAAAGTCTTTATCCTTCTCTTCCACATTCAGGAAGCATACCGCTTGATTTTAGGTTGAAAAAGATTTGTGATTGTCAAAAGGAAATTGAAAATGAGATTTCTCATCACCAGGAAGTCGCTAAAAAATACAAGAGAGCAAAATCTGTGTGCCACATAACATCGTCAGTCACGTCTGTTAATAGGTGGTTTGGCAGGCGCTTTAAGCGGGGTGGGTATTGTAATTGCTTTCTATGGCGAGTATTGCGGGTTTACTTGGCTTCATGTCTGCTGTGACGACTCTCGTGAACAAATCTCTCGTCAAAAAGACTGAGAAACATGAAAAAACTGTCTCTCTCGCTGAGGCGAGGCATCGCACAATCAGCCGACTCGTGTCGAAAGCTTTGAAAGACTCTTCGATATCAGATGCTGAATCTGCTTCGATATTGAATGAAATTGATCAATATTATTCATTGAAAAAAGAACTCAAAAAAAGTTATTCACAAAATTCTAAAGAAAAAGTCGATGATGCAACTCTCAGAGAAGAGATAAAAAAAGAATACCAAAAAGAGTTAGGCTCTCTGCTTACACTCGCAAAGAGTTGAGAATTGAATTCGACAAAAGACTGAGTGGTTTCTTTCTTCAGTTTTAAAACTAATAATATACATGAAAAAACTTCTCAGTTCTGATTGGTTAAGATGAATGCAGTTTTCAGTTACTTTAGTGCAGAAGAGGGTTAATTCAGTGCAAAGAAAGAAACAAANTCCAGATGTGACTATGTTCCTTCTGCTCAAAGGAGGCGGTTACCACAGATGCCAGTTTCACACTACTTACAAGTAAGACTTTTGTCTCTGGATGAGGTTTGATGGTTGTGAAATGCCCTTTTAAATATTTGCCTCTTCTCTTTTGCTTTTTCAAAATTGAAGAAGCTGAAGACGACACACACTAATTTTTCTTAAAATATTTATTTGGGATTCGCGGATGAGTAAAGTCAACAAGGAACAAAAAGCTAACCGTATCCTCTGTAGAACTCAAATCCTCCTTTTCGTACTTTCTCTTCACGCAATATATAATGCCAAGGGTGATGTACGTAATAGCCATTAATGATGAAAGTAATTGCTGAACTATAATGAAGAAATCAATGGCAAAATTTATAGAAGTGAAGTCAAAACACCCAACGCTAATGAAAGCAGATTATACGCTTGTTGTGCTCTTGTTTCTGTAGCATTTGTTTCGCCATTTGTTTCCCTTCTTTTAAATTTGTCTTAATTTTATTGTCATTTTCATTATTATTATCATTTGTAATATTATTATTTGTTTGTTTTTGGTTGGTTTTTTTCCTTTACTCAGTTGTTATTTTTTCTTTCCTTTTTTGTTTTTGTTTTCTCTTGTTTTGTTTTGGTTTTTTTTGCATAGAACAAAGCAGCCTGTCACACTGCCCCAAAACCACGTTGTAGAACATCGCATTGTCAGGACCGGCGATGGCAACGTAGTTGAGCTGAAAGAAATAGCTGTGGCTCATGCTAACAATTTGGAGATTTAACTCTTTGTAACATGGAAGCATTTTCATTACTTCCAATCAATGTCCTGAGTTCATTGTAATACGAATCAGGTCAATTGATAAATAAAAAAAAGAAAAAAATTGATGTAATCAATTGTGTATTGTGAACGATAATTGCTTCCTGAGACTTAAAACTGGGAGCATATGTCTCGGCTATCCGCCCCATTATTCGCAACTATTTCCATGACTGCCTACACATATTTAGACATCCACAACTCTTTTTCAACATGAGGGTTCATTCTGGCTGTATTTGCGGTCCAAAGAGAACAGCCTTGAAGGTGCTTTCCACTGTTTAATCTGTTAACAGGGAGACGGTTAAGGAGATAAAGAGCAAATGTGACCAGAAACTCGAAAAATGTTCAAAATATTGTGGCAACAGCCAAAAAATTGATTCGGCTCATATTCTCAAGTTTGGTGAGCATTACGGTGAAACAAAGCACCTTATACTTCGTTTGGCTGAATATTGATTTGTTTTCGAGAAAATTGATAATAACTGAATTCCGTCAAAATGCCGCTTTTGAAGCTCAAAATTTCAGTCGAGTCTCAAAGCGTAGCGCCACGAATCAAAAACGTTTAGACCGATAAAAAGTACCAAATCTTTGAAAACAACATCAAAACATGTGTTGACAGTAATTTGAGAAATTCTTCATCGTTTATTCACACACGCTAATCGAATTTTTCCAACCTTCTTCCAACTGGATTTAAAATGGGTCAAAATTAACCCGTTATTTAACTTTGTGCTAAACAAAATAATCGACTGAAAATCTGTCGTTTGGAAGGCGAAGTGTGGTTCTTTTTGGTCTCCGAAGAATTTTTGGGGAAATGACCAACAAATTAAATGAATTTGGAAGAAATGAAACTTTCAGATCTTAAAGAAGAAGCAAGAAGTCACTTGATCAAAAGCGGAAACATACAAATGAGGAAGATGAATGTAATCAGATCGCACAGACATGAAATATTTACCGAGACCATCAACAACTGAAGATAGCTTTGAGTGCAAATGATGATAAGAGAATAATAAGAGAAGACAAGATATCAACTTTTTCTCATGGCCACTATAAAACATGAATCCTGAAAATATTCCATTTAATGCAATAATAGTCGGACCTACAAATTCTGGAAAGACAAACTACCTCGTCCATCTTTTGAGCAATAAAATTCATTCATAAATTTGATTACATTTTCCTAATTTGTCCAACATTCATCCACAACAAAACCTATCAGAATTTTGGAGATTTGGACAAGGACCTCTTTATCTTGGCTCCCATCCAAAACCAGATTGATGTTTTTCTCAAGCTCATCAGTTATGCTTATGAGGGAACTAATACACTGATCATCCTTGATGACTGTGCCGCTTCAAAAGATGTGAGGCAAAGAAAAAATGAACCCGTGAATTTGGCATTCAGCGCAAGACATAAAGGAATCAGCGTTTGGGTCCTCACACAGGAGATGACAAGTATCGCAAAACCATGCAGAGAAAACATCGCTGCACTTGTTCTCTTTTACACACACTCGGCTAAGGATATGAAGGTGACATTTGATTATTATGCAGGTGATTTGACGAAAGAAGAGCAGGTTGAATTGTTAGCAAAGCTAAAGAGTGAGAATTATTCTCATCTGATTTTTTCACTTCGCCATCCCTTTGATATAATTTTTGAAAAGGTATAAAAATAGACATGAATGAACAAGAGGAATCACAGATTCAATCGCAGATGTTATGAACATTCTCGAGTCTGAACCCACAATTGATTCAGATCACCGAGAGCAAATTGCTGTTCTCGTTGCGAGTGGTAAAGCGAAGGAAATGATTGGTGTATCTCTCACTCAGGATCAAGCCAAAAGGCTTTCTCAAAAGGACGTTGAGAAGTACTTCAAACGATATGAAGCCCCGATCAATGTCTTCAAATACTTGCGAAGCAACGGTTAATACATTTATTCAACTTTCGAGTAAAGCATTGGCCTTTTTTTTCCCTGTTGATGAAGAAAAACTTATGAAGGACTTGAACGATGATTTCGCTGTAAAGAGAGAACTCTTGAAGTATGGAAAGTACATGGCAATTGCAAGTGCTGCTCTTCTCACTGCCAAAAATGTTAAATTACCTATCAAAACACTTATGGTAGATCATGAGGAAGTAGATAGTACTTCTGAAGAAATAGATAGTACTTCTGAAAAACTTGCATAAGAACTTGCAAAAGAACCTGTTTTTTAAAAATAATGTATCAATAAGTAAAATGGATAAAAATAAATCCCAAGAGCCAACGCAACAGGTCACTTCAACTGATGAAAATAATGTAGGGATAAATAAAATGGATGAAAATAAATCCCAAGAGCCAACGCAACAGGTCACTTCAACTGATAAAAATAAGACGAAACCGAAAAAAGATCCAGGGCGTGTCTATGCTGGAAAAAAACTTGCTGAATACAACTAATGAGTTAGGGAACAAAAAGAAAGGCGAACGCTTTGCAAGAAAGTTTAAAGCAATCTGAAGGATTAAAACCAGAACCAAAACAAAAACAATCATCATCATCATCATTCTCATCATCATTCTCACTAATTCAAATTCTTTCTGTAGCAAGTATCTTTCTATCACTGGCTGGCCTGTACTATAATAGAAAAGAGTTCATTGAGCTCGTAAATAAATCACAACCAAAACCAGAACCAAAACCAGAACCAAAACCAGAACCAAAACAAACTCAAATTCCAAAAAAAGTAAAACCAATGGATTGATTTTTTTTCTCTTCTAAATAAAAATGTTTCATAATAAACTTGGCACATAGTGAAGAGCTTGATGTGGAAGAACCACATTTTTCCAACTTTTATAAGCCTCGCACACAACTGACAAAAACATGGTGAAATGATTTATGCCGGAGGAATGGCTTTGGCTTTGGGATTGGCTGCAATTCGTCTTTTCTAAACGCAATAGAAAAAGGGAAAGAAAACTTTCAGGAGTTAACTATAGCCCAAAAGGATTTTGGAAGGGATTGGACGCAGTAAAGAAACTAGCAAAGGAATCTGGACTTCCTCAAGATGTTGCAAATCTTTGGCTGATGAAGCAGGTCATCTGGCAGATTTATTTACCTGCTCCGAAGCATATCCCACGACCAACTTTTGACATCCATTCTCCAAACACAGTTCATCAGGCTGATCTTCTTTTCCTTCCTCGTGATAAACTTCCAAGGGGAAGAAAAGTCTATAAATATGCATTGACTGTAGTTGATGTTGCAAGCAGGTTTAAGGCTGCTGAACCTCTCACCTCAAAGAAGAAGAAAAACCACTAAATATATTTGAATTTTTCGGCCTTAGCCAGCCAAGGGAAGAAAAATCTACTAGGGAACTAAGAGCTGAAGCATCATATTATGGTATAAAAGGATATCACTGATGATGTTATGTGAAGAGAAAAGTTAATCGAACAACTTTATTTATATGATTTGTATGGACTTGACCCTACCTCCTTAAAGTAATTATATTAGTTTTTTTTCTGTGAATTTTGCATTTTGAGTCTGCTCTTGAAAATCAATGCAGTCTCAAAATTCGGTCAATTTTTGCTACTTTTTCAAAGAATTGGTAATCTTACTCTTCAGAAAACAACTCTCCACGCATCTCTTTTACATTCAACTCTATAACATTAATCTTTCCATTATCACACATTTTTGTTATATATATTTTTTTATTTCTTCGATTACATTAAAAATCATATTTTTTTAAAATTATTCTTTAAAATTATTTGATTTTTTAATCTGTAATATTGGACATAGATTTTATGATATTGGACGCGATAGGTCTCTCATTTTTCCACTACTACAGACCATTACTATTCAAAACGTTACCAAGACGAAAATTACATTTAAAACTGGCTTCGGAGTGGCTAGGGAAAATACTTTAATTGTCTTAAGTTGAGGAAATAGGCTTCGACATATTGCCTATTTACAGGAAATATTTCTTCGTATTCGCCGTTAATGAGCCACGAACCACGTATATTGAAGACATGACGTATAATAAAAAGGCCTAAGAGCAACGAGGCTGTATACCTCAGATGACCTTTTGCTAAGCCTCCAGAAGGTCATGCATGTCACGCAACACTATTTTTCGTAACACAGCTACTTCATACGTTTCATCGAGTAAACTAAAAATATTTCCTTTCGTGATATTTCAGCCATGGATGATCCCCATGTTATATTCGTTTCAGAGGAAAAGAAACCAAGCACTCATGAAAAGACTTCATCAGGTGAGAAAAACTATTAATGGGTAGTGTTCTATTGTTTAAAGAACTGAAAGATGAGGTTTGCAGGCGGTTGACGTAAGCATCATCGGAAAGAGAAATTCCAAACAATCATGGAATTGATAATGGTATCTTATCCTGCAAACGTCTACGCCTTTGGATGAAATGTAAACTACTTTCTCAACAAAAGCCACAAAGACTTCAATCTTCTGGCCGTCTTCATAAATGTAAACAAGAGTGGCAAAAATCTCATTAATTCACATTGTTCTATGTACTTCAGGCACAGACGATGGTCAAGTTACCTCTATTTCACTTGAGAAGAAACTGGATGTCCAAACCATTACTTTATCAGGTGGGACAAACCATGGTAGACTCGTAGAGACCATTAAGTCAGCATCATCTGTCTTGACTGAGCTATCAATCAAACAATACTGAAGATTGGACCCACGGGCCGAACAGTCTCAGGAAAAGCAACCACAAATACTAGCTTATATTATATGGTGTCTTTCTGAACAAAGAGTCGAGTAGCAAAAAATCCAAAATTTCATCGCCGCACATTAAAAGATGTTACGTTCTTTGTATTTTAGTCATAGAGGGTTCGCAAGTTACATTTGTATAGGTTGAGGAAAAACCGAGTTTTCAGAACAGCACTTCATCAGGTGAGAAAATCAATCAAATGATAGTATTCCACTATAATCACAAATCATAGTTTGTAGACGGGACTACTAACTATGCACAAATGAATGAAGACGCATTCGAAGTGAGTGAGGAGTTAGAGAGTGGACAATGAGAATTATTGAAACAAGCACTCAGCGTGTTCTAACTTATATTCTCATTCGCTACCCCGCTCAAACGAACATGAAACATTTATCATTCAATAAGTAACGGTGATTGGGGTGTGTCAACACGAGCCGTATGCGACCCTCTTTATTATTCCTTCATCTACAAAACTGATAGGAATGGTATATCAACGGACTGAAAACTCGGAAATGTAAAAAATAAAGCAAGAAAAGCTACAAAACAATCTAATCTATGTTCGTATATGCAAAAACTACTTCTAAGGGAAACTGACAATCCCTAGTCACTGGGCCAGTTCAATTGTGAGGGCGTAGGGACGGTCGTAAGACGCGAATAAATATAAATGACAACAGCTCGAATATATACAGCCTACCGCTAATGAAGCAATATGACAACATAGCATGCAACACCCCAAAGAAAGCGTTACGCAACCCATGATAAACACATTTACTGCGCATGCGTGAGTGCGAGAATAATCACGACCGTATGACACATCTGCATCAAATGGAAGTCCCTCTCCTCCCTTCTGGTATAGTCGAGCTCATAGCTAAATTAAAGCGTTTACTGGGGCTTACGATATGCTCAACCACAGGGAAAAATCATTGACATGTAATTTTAATACCATTATTGTTTTGTCCGCTTTTAAACTTTATGAAAAGCTAATTCCCGTTATTGTGCGGACGTGGGTGTAAAAAATTTTGCCTTTACTTCTTTTTCCGTATACTCCTCACTATCTGTAAATGAATTTCTAGCGGCGTTAAATATTTAAGTTGTCTTCCAGGAGCCAACACTTGTGTAAAGCTACAGGTTAATGAAGAAGCTAAAACCTGCTGCCCGAGAGGACTGTCGGTATCCTTTGAGAATTATTGAAAATCCGTATTTAATGGTTAAAGAAACTGTCGTGAAGATAAAAAAATTTGCATAGAATTACAATACTGCACTAAAAAATTGTCCGGGCAATAATGGTGTAATCAAAGAGTAAGACCTGTGAGAGGTAGGACCCGACTTTTTTTATTACGTGGCTTAAACGCGTCAAAAAATACACAAATTCTCAACATATGTAGCCTTTAGAAACATGTTTTTTTTTTAAATTTGATCTCAGAGCAAAGATAATAACTTTGTATTGCGACAAATAGAGAGCTTTTAAAATCAGCTCTGTTTGACTTAACCCGAAGAAGACTGACAACAACAAAAAGACGTCACTAGATTTATGAACCAAAAGCATCGGTGAGCTGAATGATGCAGTGCAAGAAACAAAGCAAAAGGAAGATATGGGCAGCCTTACAAGTCCCTCAGAGAAAAGTCAGGTAAGAGTAAAAAACGATTACCAGAAAAGGTGCTCTTTTCTAAACTCTTCAAAGTAAGAGATGAAAGAAACTATGAAGTATCCCGCGATATTTTTAAACAAGAAATTGATTTTTCACTGAAGTTGCGTCAAGAAGTTCAGTAAAAGAACTAAGCAAGAATAATGTGGACATATTCGAAAGTTGGTTTGATTTTCACTTTTTGAGTCTAGTTTTCATATATGTACACAAGTATACTAGAGTGGACACCATGCCGGGTATTAGATAAGTGCAAGGCAAACGTATTCCGGTCAATCTTATTAACAGTAAACTACACTGCAAATCATTCCATGACATTCGTAAAAACAAAAACTTTTAAAAAGATTTTTCGCCAGAAACTTGACAATCGTTGCGTTTAACGAAGCCTTCCAAAATTAAAATTTCTTACAAAGTTTCGTAAAACTCTAGGATATACAAAATGTCTCGTACAAAGATGAAGCCTGTCCAGACGACACTCAAGAGGTCATCCGTTCCAAACGAGATCTGCAAATTGCCAAAGTAACCAGAAACAAGCATGAGGAGGGAGCCGTTTACTTTAAACTTGGCTTGGCCTACGAGAACCGTAAAGAGTTCAAGTTAAGAGAGCGATTAGGTGCCATGAACTTTCTCTAAACCTTTTTAAAGAAACGGGATGCAGTGGTGCACATTGTAAAAATTATTACAATCTCGGTAATTCTTATGACGGTTAAGAGATTTTATAAAAGCAATCGAGTACCAACAACTTGCATTAGAAGTTTTCAAAGAAGTGGGCAACAAGGCTAGAGAGGGTAATAGTTATTTCAGTCTCTGTCAGTAATGCTCACTTCGGGTTAGGAAATTTTATAAAAGCTATTGAGTACCAACAACTTGCATTAGAAATTAAAAAAGAAGTGGGCGACAAGGCCGGAGAGGGAAGCAGTTATTGCAATCTCGGTGCTGCTTATCGCGGGTTAGGAAATTTTAGAAAAGCTATCGAGTACCAACAACTTGCATTAGAAATTAAAAAAGAAGTGGGCGACAAGGCTGGAGAGAGAAACAGTTACTGCAATCTCGGCGCTGCTTATAACGGGTTAGGAAATTTTAGAAAAGCTATCGAGTACCAACAACTACCATTAGAAATTAACAAAGAAGTGGGCGACAAGGCTGGAGAGGGAAGCAGTTATTGCAATCTCGGTGCTGCTTATAACGGGTTAGGAAATTTGATAAAAGCTATCGAGTACCAGCAACTAGCATTAGAAATTTTCAAAGAAGTGGGCGACAAGGTTGGAGAAGGAAACAGTTATTGCAATCTCGGTACTGCTTATGGCAGTTTAGGAAATTTGATAAAAGCTATCGAGTACGAACAACTTGCATTGGGAATTTACAAAGAAGTAGGCGACAAGGCTGGAGAGGGATACAGTTATTGCAATCTCGGTGTTGCTTATGACAGATTAGGAAATTTTATAAAAGCCATCGAATACCAACAACTAGCATTAGGAATTTTCAAAGAATTAGGCGACAGGGCTGGAGAGGGAAGCAGTTCTTGTAATCTCGGTGTTGCCTATAATGCAATTAGAGATTTTCAAAGAGCTTTCGAGTACCTTGAACGTGCTCTGGTAGTTTGCAAGAAAACAGGACAGAAGGCTATAGAGGTCCTGCTACTTTTTAACCTTGGAGATGTCTCTGAAAACCTGGGGTCTCCTTTCAGTTCTCTTAAGTACTAGCGGTCCAGCATAACGATGTATAATGAGCTGAGAGCTGGTCTGTGGTTTAGAGAAGAGTAGAAGATTACCTACCGCGATTACCATGATTATGGGTATGCAGCGTTATGGAATCTGCATTTGAATTTAGGTCAAATTGTTGAGGCTCTACTCGTAGCTGGTCCAGCACGCGCTCAAGCTCTAACTGATATGGTGAACTATGAGTATGGCTCTGGAGAACCATGCTATTTGTCACGCCTGCCTGAGAAGCCTGTCTGCGAGTTACCTGTGGATTGTGCTCAATCAAATTTACTTTTCTTAACAATTACTGATGAACAAATATTTTTCTGGGTTGTTCAGGTCGGTAACCATGTTCACTTCAGAAAAATAAACATCCGCGATCATGGCTCAGGTCCTCACTTGAACGAAAACTTCATTGCGAAGTTAAATAACGAGAAAATCGGAAAATTATGAGTCAAATGCAAGAGTCGTTTTATTTGATGATGCCTGCGATGACGAATTGGCCCATGAAAGGGCGGTTGATAACCTTCCTGAATCTTCCCAGACAGAGTGATTGCACAAATTGTATGACATCATAATTGGTCCTTTTGCGGACCTGATTAAAGGCCATGAACTTATCTTTGTTCCCGAACCTTCATTGTGCATGGTCCCTTTTGCTGCACTGATGGATTCCAATTCAAAGTATCTATGTGAGTCTTTCAGAATTCGTGTCATTCCATCCTTGACCACTCTGAAGTTGATCGTTGATGCAAGAGACGACTTCCACAACAAGACCGGTGCGCTACTCGTGGGGAATCCATGTTTGGATGAAGTTCTTTTTGAGGGAAGAAAGTTAGATCCGCTTCCATGTGCGGAAGAAGAAGTGAAAATGATTGGCGACATCCTCGGCTCTACTCCGCTCATTGGGGAGAAAGAAACAAAAGATGAAGTGTTGAGGCGGCTCTCGTCAGTTGCTCTGGTACACATCGCAGCACATGGCCGGATGGAGACAGGAGAAATTATCCTAACGCCACGAACAAACCGCAAATGACAGACCCCTCTTATGGAAGATTATCTTCATACCATGAAAGATGTATCAAATGCTCATTTGCGGGCAAGGTTCGTTGTGCTGAGCTGCTGTCATAGCGCTCGAGGAGTGATCAAGGCAGCTGAGGGAGTAATTGGCATTGCGCGATCGTTTCTTGGTGCCCGAGCTCGTTCGGTTTTGGTGGCTCTGTGGGCGCTTGATGACAAAGCCACGATGGAATTCATGAAGTATTTCTACAAAGAACTTGTGGCAGGAAAGAGAGCCAGTGAAGCTCTTCAGCAAGCTATGAATTGCATGAGAGAAATTGAACAGTTCAGAAATGTACGGAACTGGGCACCATTTGTACTCATTGGCGATGACGTCACATTGGACCTATCGGACGCTTCTGAAGTTTAGACTTTGGATCATATATACGTAAGTGTTAATTTCTTTATTTAACAACTATTCACCGAAGTGGAGGTGGTTAATGGTGGATACTTACCGAGCCGCGAAGCGGCGAGTTAAATATCCACCATTAACCACCTCCACTTCGGTGAGTTGTTTTAGTATATACTAAAACAGTGAGATAATATACACCACCAAAAATTTATTTTAATTCATACATTCCAGAAACGATTCCAACATTTTCCCGCGCGTAACGATCCAACGCGGCTCGGATGGCGGTAAGTGATTTTTTTGTTGTAAAAACTACCGTCACGTTATCTCGCTGACAGATAAAATTTCCGAAGACATTTGTTTAGCTCTGGTGGCGACATTTCTTCAAATGGTGTTGCAAACTCTTTCTGTATTTGAAAC